TACATGTATATATATTTCAAAATATTTGAATTTTATTTAGTAATGGATAATCTCCTCATTAAGACATGTTTATTTTTAAAATCAATAGGTAATTTTCAATTGTAATCTGGTAATGTCTCATCTCATAAGATGGTAAAAGAAACAGATGGCAAATTAATAATTCTCATTCTGATCGATATCTTTCAATAAAAGATACCTTTCAAAATATTAAGGAATTTGTTCCATTCCGTTCATTTTCCATATTCATTATTCACGATGATAAAATTTCTTTTTTTATAGATATTCTTATGTTAAAACGATTTCTTTCATTTCAAAAATTATAAAGTTTATTTAAGTCACAGCACTTTTAATATTTATTATTCAACTATTTTTAATCATCTTTGAATTAAAAAATGAAAGACGACTGTTTACTATTCTTTATATTATTGTGAAAATTCATTAAATATATTTTTATATATATATATATATGTGTCTCTATATGTTTGTGTAACAATTAAATATAAAAAATATAACCAGTTTAGATCCTCGAAAAAAGTTTCTAATGGGACTATATAATGGTTTTATATATATATATATATATATATATATATATATATATATATATATATATATATATATATATATATATAATTATATTCTGAATATATCTAATTTTTGATTTGTTTGTATCTTTGAAGATTTGAGCTCCTCGAAATTATAAATTGAATAATTAAAAATATATGACCTAATATAATCCAAAATCTCCAGTATCATGACGGATCGGCTTTTTTATTTTATGTTTTACTTGATATGATCTTGTTATTCTAAATATCTAGCCTAATGCATAAAAAATGATCACGGCTAATGTTGTGAGGTTCTTTTTCCAGTTATTCCAGCCACAAACATCCCAACCTAAAAGTGATATACAACCTTTTTGAAATCCTCTTATAGAAATTAGTTTTAATTTTGTTATTAAATTTGAGGTTTCCTTTATAAGTAAACAAATATAAACATGTATTTTTCATCCCATATATATATTTATATAATATATATCTATATACAATATATAATATATAATATTAAGAAATGGTTATTTCGTTTATATAATTTAAAGTGTCTTTTTAATTTATCTAGATCTTTTAATCTCTGTTTTTTTATCCTGTTAAAACTCAATGAAGAAATTAAGGAAAGAACAGAAAAACAAAATATAGTCAATATAGTTTATTTCTAATTTATACTTAGTATACAATAAATATATTAAAACAAACAAGTGGATTTTCTAGAACCCTAGATCTTGAACAATCATTTTTTCAAACATATGTCAAGCCACAAAATAATGTTGAATACATTGCTTGAAATTCTCATCCAACTTTCAGTTATCAAACATATTTAAGTCTTCCATTGAATACTATATTATATTTATATATATATATATAGGTTTTTAATAAATATATAATTTTAAAAATGTGCTATATAAAATGGCAATAAAAAAACTATTCATAAAAAATAAAAATCCTCCTCAATATAAAACCTTTTATTTAACATATATAAAAAAGATCTTTAAAAATTATTCTGTTCCTATCATTTCAATATAATCTTAAAACTTTAATCAATATATAAGCGTATATTTCTTTTTTTGCATCATCTAAACATTCTATAACCCATTCATGTTATTTTTTGTGTGTTAAATATATTATATATATTTTTATAAAAATTAACCCAATATATTTGTGCTGATAATCTTTTTATAAGATAATTATATATATATATATAATATATATATATATATAAATATATATATTTATATATAATTGGATATATCTTATAAATTTATTAACTGCAATTACTAAATATTAAATTCTCAACATCAAATGTAATTGATATAAATTTTTTTAAAAAAATTATAAATAACTATATTACTTTAATTACTACAAAAATTATATATATATTTCAACAATAAAATCTAATATTAAAGAATATTTTACATGATTCTTACCATGAAAACATTCAAGGAACGCTGGCATTAAAATATGCAATCTTTTAATCACAGTGAATATAGGTACATGACTTCATTATCCAAGTATTTTTGGAATCTAAAAGATAAGAACAAAACACCTACGGTTAAATGGAGTTTGGTTAAGAAAACTCGGACATGTAACTCCCTATATGCCCCATGTTACCTATGCCTTAATGAAAAATTTGAAATTATTAGATTTAAAAAAAAGGCTGATCTCTTAAATCAAAGATATGAACTTACAGTTAATTGTAAACACCGTTATAAATTTAACTTAGTGTAGGGGTCGTATACTTTAAATGATAATGATATGTCGCTGTATTTTAATAGATTAGTATTTTTTATTGCATGATGGTCATACTTACGATATAAATGTGTATTGTTTACCTGCATAGTGTTATTAGTGTTGGTGTATATGTGTATATATTTATTTATGTGTTGGTTAGAATATTTGCACTGAGGAATGTGTAGGTTTGAATATAAATTTGTACATTTTTTTTTTTTTTTTATTTTTTTTTTTATATATATATATATGTATATATATATATATGTGTATATGTGTGTGTGTATATATATATATATATATATATATATATATATATATATATATATATATATATATAAGATAAAAGGTTAATAATTGTTGATGTATATGTATGTGTGTGCCTATATATGTATGTGTATATGTTGTGTAAATATGTATGTATATATATATGTGTGTATATTTGTATATATATATATGTATATATATATATATATATATATATATATATATATATATATATATATATATATATATATATATATATATATATATATGTGTATATATGTATATATATGTGTGTGTGTGTGTATATATATAAATATGTATATGTATGTATATGATTAAATCACGGCAGTATAATGGTTTCGGCATGGTTCGTTATGGAGATTTATTGCGACTATAGTAATGAGTTCGTTCCTCACTGGGTGCTCTAATTTCAATATTGTGCCATATATATATATATATATATATATGTGTGTGTGTGTGTATATATGTGTGTATATATATATATGTGTGTGTATATATATATATATATCTGTATGTGTCCTATTTTATTGTGTATGTATATTTATATTTAAGTATATTTCTGTTTGTATGAATGTGTTTATATATTTGTATGTTAGGCTATATGTATATTGCTGTGTGTTGGTATTTGAATGTATATTTATGTATCTATATGTTAGTACGTTTATATATGTATTTGGTTGAATGTTGTTGTATTTTTATGTATGCATGTATATATTGGTAGTTATTATTATAGATAGATATATTTATATATATATTTTATTTGTAGATATGTATGTGTATGTGTATATATATTTATGTATGTTTGTGTATATATATATATATATGTGTGTGTGTTAGGCACCTATTATGTATGAGTTTGTTTGTGTGTGTGTGTGGGGTATGGAAACTTTGGTATATCATGACTGTTTTTATATATGTAAGTATGTGTGCAAAAAAATGTGTGTATATATGTGTGTATTTATGTTTATATATATATGTGTGTGCATGTGTACTTGTTATCATAGATATGTATATGTGCGTATATGTTTATGTTTATATATTTATTTGTATGTATTTCTGTATGTATATGTATGTATATATATATATTGTATGTTTATGTGTGTTAATTTGTTTTTGTGTTAATTTGTGTATATATATATATATATATATATATATATATATATATATATATTATTTATATTTGTGGTTTCTTTATCCTGTTTTTCTTTGCCTAATATATAATGAAACTATTATCAACTTATATGATTAATATATATTTTTATTGATATTTATGGTTTTTTAGAATTTTCGTTTTAATATATTAAATAATATTATTTTAACCATTTTTATCTTTGTATATTTGCTCCCTTAAGTTATAATTTTAATAAGTGGTTAGCATTTATTTAATGATACTTTAAGTCTGAAATATTTATTGGTTGTGATTTCTGATTGTCTATGTCATTGTCTGTGGATGTATGTATGTGTATTTATCGGTGTCTATGTGTATGTAGAGTGTATTCACATTTAACTGTGTGTGTGTATAAGTGTTGGTTTCCACGTCTCCTTTTTTTCATAAAGGGCTGTAGAGATGTTCATGTTTCCCCCCCCTCCTTTTTTTTTTTGTGTTGTTGTGTGTGTGTATATCTATCTAATTATGTCTGGGTGCTTATGTATTATAATCTGATTGTGTTTTTTGTTGTTTTGCGCGTGAGTTTAAGACCACATTCACACACTTTAAAATAAAAAAAGGAAAAAAAGGAAAAAGAAAAATATATATATGTATTGTCAAATGACCGGATATATTGTAGCGTCTTGTCGAACGTAATTTCAATGAAGAAATGAATTGAATAAACATATATATTTTTTTTTTCTCAATAATTTTTATAGTTTTAAACTTAATAGTGATTAAATTTGGATTTTAAAATTGCCAGTTTTTAATTTTAATATTAAATTTTATCATATAATTTTATAATTATTGGTTAGTATAAATTATTTTTAATATTACACGTATTTTAAAGATCTGAATAGCTATTATAACATGATTTCGTTGTCAAGCTTTTGAATCTTTCTATACTTGGTTTTTGATTGGTTATTCTAGCTTTTGTAACAATGTTTCCCCCTAGTGTAGGATCGTTAATTAATCTGAAACTTTTAAAACCATTTATTTTATTTTCAACATCATCACTTGATAAGACACAGAGGGTGTTGAAACAAAATGGCTATTTTTGTAGTGATTTTATAACATACTTATGTTATAAATTTTTTTATAAATAATAATATATATATATATATATATGTATGTGTATGTGTTTTATGTATAGTATGTTGTGTGTATTGGTATTCCTATCCCTTTGACAGACATATATTTATTCTAATATTTTTATATATATATGTATTTTTTTCATGAAATATATCCTTCAGTCCATTGTCTCGAAGGCTATAACTTTCAATTTTATTATGCGCGTCCACATCCATCATTTATATATCGTCGTTGGCTGGTCTTTTGTCGTCCTGATCAATCCCTGCACTGTTTGTTCTCAGAGTCGACCCGAAATAGACCATGGTGCATCTATTTCGTGATAATTTTTAAAATCTATTTTCCAGGCATTCATTCAGGTATTACTACGAATAGACTCTTGTCCATCTTTATGGATTCTTTGGAAAAAATCGCCATGTTGCAATGAAATAATTTTAACTACATCAGTTCCGTTGATCAAAAATTAAAGTTAAAAACATTAAAAGACTCATCCAACAAGTTCAGGTTGCCGAAACTTCCCTGGGTTCATTATTGCTTTACATTTTATTCATTCCTTTTCATTTAGAATATCAACTACAAAGCTGGATAATGAGGGTTTGCAATTTACTGCAAGACCCTTTTTTTTTTGGGCTGTTTGAACACTAGAGAAAACGTTGAAAACCAGGTCGTGTGCCTAAATAAACTCACTTTTTTGATTAAGGCATGTTTCACGCGCGTTATTAAAAAACCAATCTGTTTATTTTAATATACATTTTAAAGTCATATATATATATATATATATATATATATATATATATATATATATATTCTCCAAATTATTTTTTCTATGTTCATGAATACAGGTTAGTAAATAATTTTTCAAAATTTATTTGATAATGCTCCTATCCAAAACGAAAATGCATCAATAATTATAAATTTATATGTATATATAAATTTCCACATTTAATTTATTTTATAAAAATCATAAATAAATACTTCTAAAAAAATTTCTCTATATTAAGATCTTAAATAAAAATCAGTTAGATCAGTCGCATGAGCTAACAAATTTACAAATTATTCCCGTAATAAGTTATGTTTTAAGTTTAAAATTCTCAAAAAAAAAAAATGTAACCGTAAATTTCTAAATTTTTCATAAAATGCAGTGATCTACTAGGGTAATTTATCACACAAAAATTTTTCCTAATCCCTTTTCCAAAGAAAATTCACCAAATAAATAAATTTATAATAAATGAAAATTCATATTAGACATCCGACAACATTCATATTTATTCTCATTAATTTTCTTTGACAAGTTTTTAAAAACTTCTCTCTACTTAAATTTTAATCCCCACCTTCTTTCAATAAAAAAAATATCTCTATAGCAAAAACATTTTTTCCGACACTCTTTATACTTAAACTCTCTAATAAATTTTATTTTTTTTTATCCCGTTGGTTGTTTTTTTCTGTTATCTTTTTTTTTGTAGTCATCTGATGAATTGGATTTGGTTTTAAACTCATTCCAATGGAATAAATTATGACCATGGAATATTACAAAAAACCTTTTTATTTTTATATTATTATTATATATATATATATATATATATATATATATATATATATATATATATATATATATATATATATATATATATATGCATGTATGTATGTGTGTATTGGTATATACGTATAAGTGGGTTCATAAGGTTTGTATATATTTCTTGCAATCGGAATTTTTATTCTTTTTATTGTGTTGTCTCGGTTTTACTGGCATATTTTGGGAATATAATTTATGTTAACTTTCCAGTTAAATTCTCTTGTTATTTTTAACCAACCAATCTTAATAATATTATCCACTAGAAAACCTAAATTCATTTAAATACAAATAAAGACTAAAAGACATTAAATAAACTCACACTCTTTCCATCTTTGTGTCATAAACCCTTCCGTAACATAAATGTCCCTTTAAGTATTTAGAGTACAATTTAATCGAATGCTATCTAAACTAAACTCAAAACCCCATTCCAAGACATTCAGTCTATGGCTGAGGGACTATAAACTCATGCGGTAATTTTGGTTTATATTACAATATATATATATATATATATATATATATATATATATATATATATATATATATTTCAACCATAAATTAAAAAAACGATTGCAAAAATATGCGACTGCAAAAAAATAAAAAACATTATTAAATACGATTCAACTAGATCAAAACAGATGCATAATAGTAACTGCTAATATCTTAACATAATCTATAGAAAAACAATTTATCCAATCTAAACATTAAAATAAGTAAAACCACATTGATTGTGGAACATGGACATGACATGGACATGATAAGAACCAAATGCTATAAAAATAATAATTCTTAGCAAATATATATAAAATAAGTAGCCAGAAATGTTCCCCCCATACATTGGGTAACTTGCAGAAATTAAAAAAAAAAGTGTCTATGAACACAAAAGGAATACTTATTTGATTCCAATTTATTAAATGCATTTGATATAAATAGAAATAAATACAACCATAACTTTGATGAAAAAGAATTAAACATTTTTAAAAAAAAAAGTAACTTCTTGCTAAATTCTCGAGACAACCGCTATTGAAATTTTATATGAATCAAAGTATTTTCAATTTTTATCTTTTTATACTTGTAAGAAATAATATTTTCTACTAACATGACTATAAAAATGTTAAAATTTAAAAGAAAACTATTACATTTAAAACCACATTTTATTTCAAATATATAACATATAAATTAATCCCAAAAAATGGTTTAAATTTTAATTCGCATCAAAAAATTCTAGAAATCATATCCTAACAATTTCTTTTATTAGATATTGAACTGTTTATTTTGCCCCCCATAAATAGTGTTTTTCACTAACTTTATGAATATTTATGAATTGTCCTAAACATAAAATTTTGAAAAAAAAAATTTTGACATTTTTACTGTATATAAATACGTGTTACAAAATTCAATCCTTGCATTTGCTTTAATGATAAAATAAAACATTACATGGTCAAACAGTTCATTGAAGATTTGTTTTTGTTTGTTTTTATTCATTTGAACTTTTGCAGAAAACTATTTCTAAAATTTTACTGATATATATATATATATATATTATATATATATTTTATAATATATTTATTCATAATTTCCTCAGTATAAGATTTATTTTAGAAAGAGAGAAAATAGAGAGAAAATTTTACTGTAAATAAGAAATTTTACTGCCCTTTCTGATATTTTTCATTTGATATAATTTGCCTTTCAATTTTTTTTTATTTTATATAATTTATTGATATTTACAGTCTTTAATAGAAAATATTGTTTTAATTTTCATTTTCAAAAAAATATAAACGTCTATTAAAATGCAATGCAACTTCTTTATCATTTAAAATTTTAATATAATTGTTATAATAAATTCTATATAATCGGTCAAATTTTTTAAAGATTGAACTATAAAGATAAAATGTGTATAGAAAAAAGTTTTATAAATAAATAAATAAATATATATTAATAATATATATATATTCAGATACTTTTTAGTGATTATGTTTATTTTTTTTATTTTTTGTGTATAAAATATGAATATCAATTTTAAAATAAATTGAAATTTCTTTGATTTTAAAAATGACAGTTTAAATATTATTATTTTGCATCATGAATCAGTTTTTCCCAAAGAGAAGTAAAATAATTAGACCTAAACAAAAAACATCCTGACCAAAAAGAATTGCCCTGATATTTAAAAAAAAAATTTTTTTATTTATAGAACGATATTTCTATTATAAGGCTATTTTTATGTGATTAATGTTGTCTTTTTAAACAGATATGCATTTTCAATGAACCTTTCGTTGCTCAATTCTGGAAAATTATCTTATTAATCTTGGATTGAACTTGTCTATAATTCTTTTTGTGTTTCAGCAAATCGCTAAAGTTCCTCTTACAAAGAGACATAGCTATACTATAATTTCGTAGGAATTCATTGCATGTAAACTGATGGTGATATAAATTGTTCCTGCCGAAGGTGATTTTTAGAATTAAGAGTTCTCTATGTGAAAGTTGAAAAAAAAAACCTCTTCCTGAAAAAATTTCTTTGATTGGAATCACGTTTATATAATATTTTATAATTTATAAGTTTAAAAAATATATGTTACTGCAAATACCAATCACAATAAAATATAAATTTAAATAAATCTAAAATAAGTGTTATAATGCAGAAAAAACAATCATTTCATTTTAAAATTTCAAAACAATGGTATATATGATAATATATAATATAAAAAATCCATTAAATTGGTAAAATTAGTTTATTCTATCACATTTTGTCCTAAAATTAAAAAACACCTGTGTTAAAGAACCAGAGATATGCAAACTTATCAGAATTTTTAAAATAAAACGTCGTCATTTTAGTTCGAAATTCTTTTAAGATGGATAATTCACGAAAATAGGATAAACAAATGATTTACTTTCTTGAGTTCTACGTTTGCAAAAAATAAAATTTCTCATTATTATGTATACTTGGTTAATTATCGGTATGCAATTGGTGTGCGTTTACAGAAGTTATCGCATTCCTTCATTTCATTTATAATTTCAATTTAATTTACAAAATGGGTACTGATTATCCGTTAAATAATATTTTTTATTTTCAATTGATTTGTTTGAAAGTTAATGCTTTTTATTATTTTTTCGTATAAAATCTAAATTTTTTTTTTTTTTAAGATTTCATCTTAAAATAATTTTTTATTTTCATGGTTTTTTTGATAAGTTTTCTTTGAAATATAACATTTTGTTTAAAATTCTTCTTAATTTCGATTTCAAATTTGGAAATAGAAAAAAATCATAAAAATATAATCTCTAAAATGGTGCTTGTAGTATTGATTTTTTTGTCTGGACTAAAACATCTGGAACATGCCATATTTAATTTTTTTTCTGTCGCAGAACTTGAATTTAAACTTTTATTGAATAGAAGATTAAATTCAACCTGTATTTCTGTTTCATTTTGTTTTTTTCGGACATATCAACCTTTTAATGAAACATTTAATGCCGACAACTTTTCATTTAATAGATTTTTTTTCATGTAATGCTAATATTTTACTTCAAAAATTATTCGAAGACCTTATAGTAACAGGATTCAAAATGTATTAATTAAAGTAAATAACATTTGGAAAGAATTTATGGTCCAAAATCTATTTTTTTTTTCAAGGTTTATGATCCTACCTTGGGGGTTAAAAAATTTTTCATTATTCAGTTAATTTCAGTTTGCCAAAAAAATTCATGGAAAATTTTTCCAACAATTAAAAGGTGGTTTAAGCAAATAAAACCTCCTG